CTAAGATAATTGAGTGAAAATCACCCATAGTCCTTTAAGAGAAAAATTGTGACTAATATTTGGTTTACTTCATTCCCTACTCTTTTCTCTGAATACATATTGAATTCTGTGCATATGTGTGTGCTTTACATAAACACTTTAGTATGTGGACTATTCTTTTTCTTTTTCTTTCTTTTTTTTGAGACAGTGTCTCTTTTTGTCACCTAGGCTGCAATACAGTGGATATCATAGCTCATCGCTCAAGCCTTGGCTTCCTGGACTCAAGCAATCCTCGCAGCCTCCTGTGTAGTTGGGACTACAGGTGCTCACTACCATGCTAATTATTTAAATTTTTGTAGGGATGGGGTCTCTCTATGTTGCCCAGGCTGATCTCAAACTCGAGCGATCCTCCTGCTTTGGCCTCCCAAAGCACTGGGATTATGGGCAATAGAACTTTAATAAAGCCTCTTATTCACTTAAAGTTTCCTTGCTAATATAATATTTGTATATGAACATAATCAGTTTTTATCTCTGCATAGCATTCGGTTGAATGGATATATCAAAATGTATCTTATAAATTTCCAGTTGATTAGGTTTCTTCCAATGCTGTAAAATATATTCTTGCAATTAGACATTTGGACATCTGTCCAAGTATTTCCTTAGGATAAATTCTTAGACGTACAATTGGTGGATCATATGGCATATACGGTTGTGAAGTTTTTAATTCACATTACCAAACTGCCGGAGCACAGAAAAGTCTAGAAGAGTCACATGACTCTCCATCTTTCAGTATGTAGGGATGTCAAACCAACCACGTCAGAGGTTAAGAGGTAATACAGCAAAGGCTAAAGGCTGAGGTCTGAGGGTCAGGCAGTCTCACTTTGAATCCTGATTGTTGTCTACTGGTTGTGTGACCACGGAAGAAGTTACTTAACTTCTATAATAGCTATATCCTGGGGTTATATGAGGATGAATGAGATATTAGGTGGCTTTCACATATTATGCCCTCAAAATGTTAGCTAATCCTAGAATGTTTTATAATTCAGTTACTGCTTATTTAACTCAAAAATGGTTATTTGAGCAAACTTGGCTGTAAAGTGAATGTCATTTCTTGATCTCTGTCTCCCACTTTGATTTCTATTCCCAAATCAGAAGTGCAGAGATGTTGATTAATTTTGATTAAAGGATACAAAATTTCAGTTAAGTAGGAGGAATAAATTCAAGAGCTCTATCGTACAACACAGTAACTATACTTAATAACAATCTATTGTATTCTTGAAAATTGCTAAGAGGGATTTTTAAGTGTTCTTACCACAAAAAATAAATAAGCGTATGAGATAATAAATGTGTTAATTGACTCAACTTAGCCATTCCACAATGTATATGCATTTCAGAATGACATGTTGCACATGATAAATGTATACAATTTTACTTGTCACTTATAAATGAACGAAATGCACACTGAGAAGTAACCCGCAAGACAAGGAAGGGAAACGGGTCCAGAACACTTCGCATTGAAAGTGTTTTCACTCTTTAAAAGTACTTGAGTCTTATTTGATCCTCCTGACAACCCAACAAGTTAATCCTTTTATAAAGGAAACTAGAGCCTGGGATGTCGGAGCAGTTGCTAGAGGTGATGTGGTTAGTTCATGACAAAGCCTGCCCTGTAGTTTATCCTTCCTATCTGTGGGCTGGAGGGAGAGGCAACTTCACCAGCAATACAGTTCAGGGTTTCTTGTGTTTGCCTGAATCATGACCAATGAGGAACTTCCGGGAGCCACTGATCCTGGGCCTCACCCTGCAGAGATTCTAATGGGATGATGCCTGGGCATCCCACTTTTTTTTTGAGACAGAATCTTGCTCTGTTACCCAGGCTGGAGTGCAGTGGCATGATGGAGTGCTGGGATCAAGGGATCCTCCCATCTTATCCTCCTGAGTAGTTGAGACAGTAGATGTGAGCTACTGCACCTGGCGAATTTTTAAAGAATTTTTTTGTAGAGATTAGGGTCTCACTATGTTGTCCAGTCTGGTCTCAAACTCCTACCCTGAAGCAATCTTCTTGCCTCAGCCTCCCAAAGCACTGAGATTATGGAGGTAAGCCACCATGCCTCAGCTGCCTCCTGCATTGTAAACGCTCCCTCATGACTCTAAACTGCAGTTAGAGTTGAGAACCAGAGATTATGGAACCAATGGCCTACTGGGAAGTTGTGTTATAGATTGTATCTGATATCCTAATTAATTAACAAAATGATAATAGACCAAAGTATGTCACATAAGGAAAACTTCACTGGCTCTGAATGAAGCCTTATTATTTTTAAAGAATTACTTTATTACTCAAGTAATACACAAATACATTTACCTTGTAAAAAATGTCAGCAGTGTGCAGAGGTAGCTAAATTTCTCTTTACAATTCCCTTATCCTCAGAGGTAACCAGTGTTATAAAATCAGTCTGAAATATTCCATATTTTTGTATGCTTTTACATGCATATATATATATTTATATATATCCATACTCATTGAAAACAGAGCAGTGTTCTGTGTATTTCTGTTTTATCCATAATTAGTATCATATTGTATCTGCCTTTTTTTTTATTTGAGACAGGTCTCACTGTGTCACCCAGGTTAGAGTGCAGTGGTGTAATCACAGCTCACTGCAGCCTGGACCTCCTGGGACTCAGGTGATTCTCTTACGTCAGCCTCCCAACTAGCTGGGACTACAGGCATATGCCACCACACCCAGCTAATTTTTGTAGAGACAGGGTCTCGCCATGTTGCCCAGGCTGATCTGGAACTCCTGGGCTCAAGTGATCCAGCTGCATGCCTCCCAAGGTGCTAGGATTACAGGTGTGAGCTGCCACGCCTAGCTCTGTGTTTGTCATTCTGTACCTTGATTATTTTCTCTTAACAATGTGTCTTGAAGATCTTTTCATATCTACATATACATCTAACTCACTTTTCTGAATTGGTGCCTGGTAGTATTTCATGCTATAAATAAATCATGGGCTATTGTCCATTTTCCTACTGAGGGACATACACAGGATGCAGACCCCATGTCATATGCCAGCCTAGGGGATCTGCTCTTTCTCAGCAAACATTTCAATGTCATAATTAGGCGGTATCACATGGCCGTGAGCCACAGCAGTTTGATGAAGAATTTTACTGATGTGTGTTGGATGGTTCTTTTGAGTTTTATTTAAATTTTCTCCCAAACCTTGATGTATTTTGGGCTTGGGCTTCTGGATGTGTGCTAAATTAATTTGCATGTGTGATCTCAAAGGGAGGATTTAGAGTATAGAATAAGAATCTGCCCGAGGTTCCCTTGCAAGGTACCACCCTCGACCCTTCCCAGCTCTCACACGGCCATCTGGGGAGCAGAGGGTACATCACCGCAATGTGAACATGTGCCCAGCAGCTCTCACCTCGGGGGCGATGTAGTCTGGAGTGCCACAGAATGTCTTGGTTGTCACCCCATCCCAGATGTTTTCCTTACACATGCCAAAATCAGCAATCTTGATGTGCCCCTCAGAATCCAGCATCACGTTGTCAAGTTTTAGGTCACTATGGCAGACACAATAATTTAGAGATTTAATTAAATGCTATGCATTTCAAGCCAACCAACACCCTCTCATTATGCATAAAACACTGTGTTAGGTGTTGTGTGGGCACAAAGGTCAGTAGAAACCAGCCTTTGACCTCCAACAGCTTGCAATCTGGCGGGGAGATAAAAAGAGGTCCACAAACCTCCTTGCTCTTCTTTTTCTACAGAGCCAACTGTGCCAAGTGTCTCACAGGGACACAAAGCGACAGCACTTCTGAAAAGAGGGAGATCCACAGAAAGTTAAGCAAAGGGCAGAGCATCCATGAGGCTTCTTGGATCCAGGAAAATTCCAAGAATTGTCCTTTGCAACTTAAAACCCCCTTATATTTTGTAAGAAAATATGTTTTTCAAAAAATCATTATTAAAAAAAAACCCTCTAAAGATTACAAAGAAAAAAGCTGATTGACAGAAATATTTAATGCTAAATGTTCCATGACCTCCTGGGACATGGCCCAGGAGTTTCCATTGATTCTTTGAATCAAAAAATACTTCTTGCACAATTACCATGTGACAAGCACTGTGTCTGGAGCCAGCTATAGTATGAAGCTGTAAACAACATAAACAAGCCTCGTGTTCTTCAGATTAAATTTCAGTGCAGGGAAAAAGATAACAATTAGTCTATAAGTATGATTATTATAGATTCTGATGAGTGGTATGAAGAAAATAAAGAGGACATGAGATAGGGATTGGAGGAAGTCACTTTAAACAGGGTGTCAGTCAGAAAGTACCTTTCTTTCTTTCTTTTTTTTTTTGAGACGGAGTTTCGCTCTTGTTACCCAGGCTGGAGTGCAATGGCGTGATCTCGGCTCATGGCAACCTCCGCCTCCTGGGTTCAGGCAATTCTCCTGCCTCAGCCTCCCGAGTAGCTGGGATTACAGGCATGTACCACCATGCCCAGCTAATTTTTAAAACATTTTTAGTAGAGACGGGGTTTCACCATGTTGACCAGGATGGTCTCGATCTTTTCACCTCATGATCCACCCACCTCGGCCTCCCAAATTGCTGGGATTACAGGCGTGAGACACCGCGCCTGGCCAGAAAGGACCTTTCTAAGGCAGTGACATTTGTGCTGTATTCTCTTTTATTTTCATCTGTGTTGATATTTTGGGGAACACTTGTAGGTCTTTAGCACACAAGATATCTCCAATGTCAACACACTTTCCTCCTCCTCAAACACCTACTCCAATGTCGATGCTTTGTATTTCAGTACCAGTGAGCAAGGCTGAGCTATGGGTCAGATGGTCCCAGTCCTAATAGAAAATGGGGAAGTTTGATTTCCTGAGAGGTAGGGGGATCTATTGCTTAATTCAGATCTTTCCCTTTGGTCATCTTGATTGGGCTAGTGGGCATCTGTGATTCAGCCTATTCTATTTTGTGATGACAGCATTCTAATATTCCTTTGAAGAACCACCCTCCCTCCATTCCTCCATGTAACATGAGTGGTTCTGGCTCCAGGAGTGGTCATGTGGGCCTGGCCTGGCCAGTGGAAATACTCCATCCTGCTGGTCACAGCGATTGATTCAAGAATGGGCATGTGATCCAATCTGAGCCAATCAAAGCTATTAAGTATTAGTACTGGCACTCTGGCTGGCATAATCAGGAAAGGGGTAAGTGCATTTTACACTGGGGTTGCTCAGGTGGTATTAAGCAAGTCTAGAAACTCCAAGGGTCACCAGATGGAGAGAAGAAATCTAGTACAGAGAAAGTAGAGCCCTAGACAGAGGGTGATAAAGTGTACTCGCATAACATCACTTGAGCCTCTGCATTTATCCAGGCCTAAAGTCAGATCTGTGCCTGGACTTTTAAGTTATGCTAGCCAATAAATGCATCTTTTAACCTAAGTTACTTTGAATTGAGTTGCTATCATCATTTCCAACTAAAAGAATAGAATCTGAAAACTATATCCTGGCATTTCCTATCTGTGTCTGTGAGGTCTCCTTACTCAAGGGGAGGGGGCGGTCCACTTGTACCCGCCCACTGATGTTTTCCAATCCCAACATGCCCTACCTTTGGCGCTGTCCATTGTCCTCCTCACATCCAGCCTTCATGCTCATCTACAAGCCACTGTGATTTGAGTGAAAGTTTGGAACTCAGAAAACCCAGGCTTTGCTGCAATTTCTTTCATCTAAACTTACTAGGTAGGTCTATAATGTGATTTCTCTAACAGTGACAAATGACATCCCTTCAGCTTGACCGCATACTCAGAAGCAGGCAGCTGCGTAGACTAGGGAAGTGATAAAATCTTCATCTATTATAGAAAAAAAGCTTCAGGTGCCAAGAGTCGGGCAGTCCTGAGGCTGGAGGGTACCTCTGTCATTTTCACTGTCACATAGCAGTATTTTGATATCACACTCTAATCTTTTGTTCTATGTAATAAATCCTTGTTTTTGCTTCAAAAGATGGATGGAGCAATTATTTTCATTTTCAGAAAACCATCAAGGGCAAAACCAACACATATTCCAGCAATGGTGGTTGGTAAACCTGACACTAAGTTTGATAGGAAGAATCTTTTTTCCTCCTCAGCCCCTAATCTAACATCTCCAGTTCCTTAAAGATGGCAAGTCTAACATAATCCTTCATCCTCTTTACTTAAGAACTGTTCAATTAAGTAGAGATTTAAATGAAGGAGGCAGTGATTTGTAACATCTTAAAAGACTTTGCCACTATGAAAGCAATCTCTATGAAATGATAAAGCCATACATCTTTTGTCAAGTAATTTGTTTTTTACCATTTCCATCTGACTATCAATTTCAAGAACTCTGTTTCCATCAGTGTTCTGGAGGGTAAGCAATAAAAGCCAACTGTGATGATTTTTACCTGAAAAAGAATTCATCAAAGAATATTGGGGAGCTCATGGAATCTTTGAGGAGACTGAAGAACCAGATTAAGAGTTTATACAGCCAGAAACAATGCCTAACTGCAGCTCAGAGCTGGTCCGGTGATACTACCACCCAAGCTGCCATGGGACAGAGCAGCACCCCTTGATCCATAAAGCCCTAATGCTGGACTCTGCCTATTGCTGCTAAGACCCTCTTCTCCTCTTGCCTCTGGAAAGTAGCTACTGATAATGACTATGGCCATTCTCGATTCTACGCTTTCTGGTTCCTTGGCTACTAGTTTCTGATTCAAGTTCTTGAGTAAGTGTGAGCAAGTGTCAGAGCTTGGGTTGTGTGCCTGCCCTGGCTACAGGGAGGCTGTGAAATGAGTATCTGTCATTTTCAATCTTTAGAGTAGGAGATTGACTCTGTTCTTACAGGTACACAAAAGAAGAGTTCAGATACAGACTGGCTTAAAAGATTGATCAATATTCCTTTAAAGACCATATTAATAGTGGAGGATGAAAGGGAGAGTGCGTAGTTAGTTTAGGGAAAAGAGCTTTGAAATAGGTATCATCTTAGAATTTTATCACCTGCCTGGCTAGTGACCTGGATCCCAGATCCCAATGCAGCTTCCTGATTGATTAGAAACCAGCCCTGATTTGCAACTCATTTCATTGGAACTCTAATTATTTCCTCTCCTGTTTCCTACACTGGGACTGGATTTTCTTCCAATAAACCTGTAGTTCCATATTTAATCTTCTCAAGAACCCAGTTAGCTCTACTTTAGTAGAGGCACATCCCACATAGGAGTTAGGTCCCAATGTCAGCACCCAAGTTGAAAATCATGTAGAGTGAAAAACGACCTGTGATCCCTGTTTCTTTGGTTAAGTATCAGCTGAAGTCATCAGCTTGAATTTGAGGATCATGTCATATGGAAGATAATGTGTACTTTTCAACACCAGAATTATGTTCAGCACAAAAAGATGCTGTCACCATGAGAGTCAAAAGGGAAGCTGAGGGAATTAGAGGATTTCCATGTGCCATTTCATGTACACAAGTGATATGTGTTCATTGAGGGCAAACATGGGCATGGGCAGAATGATCATACTATTTAAAATTTAAATTCTTCTTTTTTTATAGACAGGGTCTTGCTCTGTTGCCCAGGCTGGAGTGCAGTGGCGCAATCATAGCTCACTGTAGTTTCGAACTCATGGGCTCAAGTGATCCTCCTGCCTCAGCTTCTAAATTCTTCTCCTCTCTATTTTTGCACTTTTACTAGGATCACCCACATGCCAAGTAAAACCACTCCTCTTCTTGACCTTCCTCCCTCCATCATTAGGAGAAAATAGGAATGGCAGGGACTTTGTGCACTCAGAATAAGATCATCCTTCCCCCTCTGACAAGGCCCCCACTTCCCATCCCCCCTCCCACCATCACACAGGCTGGAGCACAGCAGTATGATCATAGCTCACTGCATCCTTGAACTCCTGGGCTCAGTTGATCCTCCCATCTCAGCCTCCTGAGTAGCTAGGTCTGTAGGCATGCACCACCACACCTGGATAATTTTATTGCCTAGGCTGGTCTGGGGCTCCTAGCTTGAAGCATTCCTCCTGCCTCAACGTCCCAAAGCATTGGGATTATAGATGTGAGCTACTGTGCCCAGCCCCCTCATGCCTTTTAATCCCATATCCTGCAGTTACACCAAAATGCCCAGGACACCAAAGTCACCCCTAACTCTCCAGACCCTTGTCACCATGTTCTCTACAGAATGAGAGGGAACCTTCCAACACCCAGTGCACACCAGCACCCTCCCCTTCTTGACTTATCTCCATTATCACTACTTGGCAGACTATATTTTTATGATTTACTTATCTGCCTCCCACCAGGAGAAGATAAAGTCCACAGAGGCAGGGGTTTCATCCGTTTTATTCACTTCTATATGCCCACCACCCAGAAGAGTGCCTAGAATATAGTAGGATTTGATAAATATGTGTCAAACATATGAATGAGATAGACTTTTGTGGTTCTTCATGATCTTTGAAAGAGACCCCCACCAGTGCCAAGTGCCATTTGGAAGCCTTGTGCCTTGCAGCCTCTCTTGTATAACGCCCTAGCCCAAGCCTACACTGGCTAAGCCATTTGCATCGACGTAGTACAAGGAGAATTGTACACCGCGGACTCGCTGACAAGTAGCAGCCTCGGGTGCAATCGTCTGCCTTGCATGAAATATAAAATGGTATGACTCATGCAGCTATGATCATCCATTTGCTTCTCCAAAAACCAGCAAAGGCCAACTCCTGAGTTTAATCCTGTCTTTCAGGGCAGCTACTCACAGATCCATTTCCAAGTTGTAGTTACATAGCAAAAAAAAAAAAAAAAAAAAAAGTTTCATAATAATATAATCCATCACATTCTGCCAGTCAAATTTCTTTGCCTGCTCCCTAAATGTAGGGTCCACAGGCAAGAGAAAGAAGTACTGGGGTCCTCTCTGTGAGTCTCCTCCTCTTAGAGCAAACAGTCTCCTGTTCGAGGTTCTGAACCATCACTGGTGACACAGTCCGTCGAGATTTTCTACCACCACATAAAGCTGCCCAAACTTTGCCAGGGCAGTGGGCGATGCTGCCTGGCAGAACACATGCCCAAGTTAGTTCTGGAGGATTCCTCCCCCACCACGGATTCTAATTTTAAAAGCAGCTGAAGAAAGAGGCAGGGAAGGGAGGAGCTGAGGGAGATGAAGAGATGGAAAGCACAGCAGTGTTCACTTACCGGTAAATGATGCCCTTACTCTGTAAGAAGAACAGACCGATTGCAATTTCTGCAGCGTAAAATCTGAAATTTAAAAAAAAGCAATGGAGAAACTCAAGGACACCATATGCTTGGCAGTGCTCAGAATTCAGTACAACATTGAACTAGGTGCAGGGCATCAAAGTCCCCGTGGATGGTCAGCTACATAGCTCATAAGATGCTGTGAGTGCGGATGGATGAACAGGGTGCTTTAGAGGGTCATGGGGAATGCCTTAAGGCCAAATTGGGCATAGGCAGAAGTTCAGCAATTGCATAGTGGAGAGGAAGCCATGGAACATGATGAACTGGGTGGAGAATTATAGTTTCACTGGTTGGGCAACATAGTGAGACCTTGTCTCTACTAAAAATTAAAGAAAAAAACATAAAGGAGTGGTGGGACATGCCTGTGATCCCGGCTGAGGGAGGCTGAGGCAAGAGGACTGCTTGAGCCCAGGATATCAAGGCTGTAGCAAGCTATGATCAAGGCCACTGTACTCCAGTATGAGCAGCAGAGTGAGACCCTGTCCCCCATCCCCCACAAAAGGATTGAATTATACGTTCAGACTATATAGCAAGTTAAATTACCTTAACCATAGCGGGTAACATCTGCTGAAGGTTAACCATCTGCCTAGCACCATTTTAGGCATTACCTGATTTAACCCTAATAATAATTCTGTAAGGTAGGTCCTACTATTATCTCCCCATTCCTCAAATGAGGAAACTGAGGGTTAGAGAGAGTAACTTGGGCAAGTTATATAGCAAAGGAATGGCACAGCGGCAATCAGAAATGACATCTGGCTAAAGTGTAACCTTGTGTTGAAGGTCAACCCAGAAAGAAAGAGATTTCAAGAGACCTAGGGAGCCCAGTTATGCCACAAAGGTTGGGCAGGGCTTTAGGGAACTGTGTTTTTTCTTGTTGTTGCTTGTTTTTGAGATGGGGTTTCACTCTTGTTGCCCAGGCTGGAGTGCAATGGCACCATCTTGGCTCAACGCAACCTCCCTCCGCCTCCCGGCTTCAAGCGATTCTCCCGCCTCAGCCTCCCAAGTAGCTGCGATTACAGGCATGCACCACCACGCCCACCTAATTTTGTATTTTTCGTAGAGGCAGGGTTTCTCCATGTTGGTCAGGCTGGTCTCAAACTCCTGACCTCAGGTGATCCACCCACCTTGGCCTCCCAAAATGCTGGGATTACAGACATGAGCCACCATGCCGAGCCTCAATCAGACGCTAGAAGTAAAACAGAAGCTAATACTACTAGAGTTATGCCAGGATATATGAGTGGCTTGATTTGGAAGCACAAAAATAACGCAAATCCCGTCAGAACACAGTGCTCACAACCTGGCCAGGTGGGAGGGGAGGAGGCAAGCTGAACTGGGCAGGGCATTAAAGTCCCCATGGATGGTCAGCTATATAGCTCATAAAATGCTAATATAATGCTATATAAATGCTATGCAATGCCATATAAAATGCTATATAATGCTTCTAGATGAGTTCTGGGGGCTCTCTGGCGAGGCAATAAGATCTTTGCAAACTCCCCAGGAGAGGTTATCATTGCTAATTCCTATAACTTGCCATGTTCCCAAACAGGGGAGTGACATGATGAGGTCTGTGTTCTGAAGAGACTGTAGCTGCCGTTTGAACTGAAGGGGATAGAATTGACTCAGCAGAGGAAACACATTTTCAACAACCCAGATTCAGTCTCCCCATTGCAGGAACCACAGACCATTGCCACTATGCACCTTGATCCTTCACCCCCTCGGAGTAAAGGCATCTAAGAGGGAGAGTGGTATAAGATAAAGAACATGGGCAAAGAAAAGCTGGGGTCAGAATTCAGGAACCGCTTCATACTAGCTCTGTGATTTTGAGCAAGCTTTTGAAACACTGCATCTCCATTTCCTTGTTTGTGAAGCAGAGATGGTAACACCTCCCTCCTGGAGTTATTCTCAGGGCTAAATGAGATGTTTGTTAAGCACTTAGGGCATGGCTCATAGTAAGTTCTCAATAAATATTAGCAAATGAACATAGAAAACTTACAATGACAATCCCCAAGGAAGGTATAGGGCCTTTCTAAGCAGTCAGGGACATGAATTAGAAATAAAAAAAATAGGCCGGGCGCGGTGGCTCAAGCCTGTAATCCCAGCACTTTGGGAGGCTGAGGTGGGTGGATCTCGAGGTGAAGAGATTGAGACCATCCTGGTCAACATGGTGAAACTCCGTCTCTACTAAAAATATAAAAAAAATTAGCTGTGCATGGTGGCGCATGCCTGTAATCCCAGCTACTCAGCAGGCTGAGGCAGGAGAATTGCCTGAACCCAGGAGGTGGAGGTTGCGGTGAGCCAAGATCACACCATTGCACTCCAGCCTGGGTTACAAGAGCGAAACTCCATCTCAAAAAAAAAAAGGGGAGAAATGCCAAATGTGGGTGAAGGGGAGAAAGAAAGCAAAACACACTGCCACGTGTGTACCTATGCAATTGTTTTGCATGTTCTGCACATGTACCCCCAAACCTAAAATGCAATAAAAAATTAAAAAAATTAAAAAAGAAAAAAAATAGCTGCGGTTTCAGAGCTTCAAGTTTTTTTGTTTGTTTGTTTGTTTTGCAGACTACAGGTGTGTGCCACCATGCCCAGTTGAGATTTTTGTTTTTTAAAGAGACGAGATCTCATCATGGTGCCCAGGCTGGTCTCCAACTCCTAAGCTCAAGTGATCCTCTAACCTCAGCCTCCCAAAATGCTAAGATTACAGGTATGAGCCATGGTGCCTGGCTGAGCTTCAGGTTCATAGCTGGTGTCAGGAAAAAAAGAAGCATCTCGTATTAAGCAGAACACCTTTCTTCCCTGGCCAAATATTTGTAACAAAGATTCCCGATGTGTTTAAAAATCTCTCTCTGGCAAAAACAAAACAAAAAAACAACCCAAAGGAACCACTAACCTACCCATTTATCCCAAGGAGAAAGCACAGCACTAGTTCTCACTTACACAGCATGGGGCTCCTTGAACCGGCCGACTTGCTGGATGTGATACATGAGGTCGCCCCCATTCACGTACTCCATCACAAAGTACAGGCGGTCCTGGAAGAGGACAGCAAAAGGCAACATTAGCATCCTGTAGCTTCTAGGGCTCCAAATTGACAGTGAGGAAGAGCTGGAATTTGTGATGAAAACTACCAGGACTCTCTGACAGATCCCTGTTTGCTGGGCTTGCTGTTTCCCCAAGGGTAACAATTGTGTTATTGGAACTACGCCAAGCCAGCACAGGTGATACACAGATTTTTTTTTTCATTAATAACTACAACTTTGGCAGGGCATGGCGGCTCATACCTATAATCCCAGCACTTTGGGAGGCCGAGGTGGGCAGATCACCTAAGATCAGGAGTTCAACACCAACCTGGCCAACATGGCAAAACTCTATCTCTACTAAAAAATATATAAAATATAAAAATTAGCCATATGCAGTGGCAGGAACCTGTAATCCCAGCTATTTGGGAAGCTGAGGCAGGAGACTCATTTGAACCCAGAAGGGGGATGTTGCAGTAAGCTGAGATCACGCCACTGCACTCCAGCCTGGGCGACAGAGTGAGACTCCATCTTAATAATAATCACAATAAGCTTATATTCATTTTTTCTGGAAAATATAATTAGCATATTAATGTTGTGACTTAACTGATATTACTGTTTAGGATAAGGCTGATTTTAACAAAAGGTGGAAAATATTAAGTATATAATGTTACAGATGATAGGTAGCTATAGCAGCCAGCCTTTATGATGCCCCCCCCAATGATTTTTCACTCTCTTAATATATATGTTCTTGTGTAGTACCTTTCCATAATGAATAGGACTGATCTGTATAACCCATTGGATATTACAAAAATGACAATGTATGACTTCCAGGAGAAGGGCATAAAAGACCTTACAGCTTCCACCTTGCTCTCTCTCAGATCACTTGCTTTTGGGGAAGCCTGCCGCCATGCCATGAGGATATTCAAGCAGTACTATGGAAAGGTACATTTGGCAAAGAACTGAGGCCTCCTGCCAACACCAGCACCAACTCCAGTCCTGTGAGTGAATCACCATGGAAACAGATCCTTCCGCCCCAGACATGCCTTCAGATGACTGAAATTCCAGCTGACAGTCTGACTGGAGCTTCCTTTGAGACCCAGAGCCAGATCGCTTAGGTAACGTACTCCCAAATTCCTGTCCCACAGAAACTGTGAGATAATAAGAGCTTATTGTTTTAAGCCACTGAATTCTGAGGTACTCACCAATAGATAACAGTGGCTATCAAAAACAAAAATGTGAATTATCAAGGTTTGAAAAACAGTAGCCTAGGAAGGCATATCCAGAAGTAATAGAACTGAGGCTAGAAAAAAATCTGTGTCCTAGTCACGGAAGTTTTTCAGCATGTCTCTCAAGGGATATTGTGAACTCCTTCAAGTCGGGGGCTCTGTCCTTCCTGGCTGTGTAATCCCTGTTTCTGAGAGCACAACTAGCACACAGTAGGTGCTCAGAGAGTGAAAGGGCATAAACTTTGGTGCCAAAGACATTTTGTTTGGAAATCCAGCTCTGTCTCTTAACAGCTGGATGCATTTGGAGAAGTTCTTCAACACCTAGGTTTCCTCGTCTGCCAAGAGGAGATAATAGTAGAACCTCAGTGACTTTGAGATTAGATAAGACAGATGTGTGTTTTGGTCCTTGGGCAACACCAATATGTGACATGCTTCTCTCCTTCCATCAGAGGGTGTCTGCTAAGTGAATGAATCACTTTATCTCTTCTTAGAGACTTCTGCTTGGGTTAAATCTCTCCGTTACACTATGTTCCTTTGGCTTGCAATGGCAGGGTCTGCACTAACTAATTTGGGAACCGAAGTCCCTCTTATGTTCTCAACCTAAAAAAGTCACTTCCTCTAACCCACCCAATCTAAATTAGGCCTGACGTTATACTCTTTCACGAACCCCTGTGAGCTTTTTTGTTCCTTTTCTTTTTTTTTTTAACCTCTGACCACATCATAATTCGTTAATTATATTTTGAACTTGATGATTATTTATCTCACCTACCCATTCAAGTGAAAAAATATTTATAGAGTCCTACTTGGTACCAGGTTATAGATAGATGCTGAGGATAGAGCAGTCAACAAAACCAACAAAATCCTCTGCCTTTACCTTTCATTGTGGTAGGTGGACACAGATAAAGACAATAGATGCTAAACACAATACATTTTATAGAATGTTAAAAGATAGTCAGGCATAGTGGTTTACGCCTATAATCCAGCACTTTGGGAGACTGAGGTGGGCAGATCACCTGAGGTCAGGTGTTCGAGACCAGCCTGTCCGACATAGTGAAACCCCATCTCTACTAAAAAAAACAGATATAAAAATTAGCCGGGCATGATGGTGCGTGCCTGTAGTCCCAGCTACTCAGGAGGCTGATGCAGGAGAATCACTTGAACCTGGGAGGTGAAGGTTGCAGTGAGCCAAGATCATACCACTGCATTCCAGCCTGGGCAACAGAGTGAGACTCTGCCTCTAAATAAATAAATAAATAAATAAATAAATAATAAATAAATATAAATAAAATAAATAAATAAATAAATAAATGTTTAAAAAATTAAAAAGTGCTAAGGGGAAAACCCCCCAGCAATGTATGGATGATTGGGAGTACCAGCTGAATGAGATAGGAGAAAGGAGTTCCAGTTTCAGTAAAGTATTCAGGATACATCTTATTTAGAAGAAGTTGCTTCAGCAAAGACTTGAAGGAGATGACAGAAGAAGCTATGCAGGTGTCTGGAGAGAGAGCTCACCAGGCAGAGGAAACAGGCTGAGCGAAGGCCCTGAGGCTCGAGCACACCCGATATGGAGAAGAAAGAAGGAGGGAGACAGGGCAGAAGATGAGCCCGGGGCAGTGCTAAGGGACTCATCAGGTAAGATCACATAGGCTAATAAGAAGGTTGGGGGTCTCACACTGAAAGAAACAGACTAATGCCAGATATGACTGAACATTCCACAAATCCAGGAACCATGTCAAATTTGCTTACTGCTGTGTACCAGAGCCGAGCACCATGCCTGGCCAAAGTGAGCCATCAATATACATTAAGTGAATAAATGGGTGATCCTTGGCAGCAGGAATTACTGGGTCTCCAAAGCACCATTCATGTAGTTAGAAGGTTGGAATGAAAGCACTGGCTCCACATTTTCTGGCTGCTGGGGAGACTTGGGAAGACCATTTTATATCCCTAAGCCTTGATATCTCATTTATAAAATGAGGATAACATATTCAATAATCTCTAACAGACTGACTGACGGGCTGGAATGAAACATACACAGGGCTGCAAACTGTAAATGTGATGAAAATGAGCTGTCCTGGCAGTACCGCCTGAGTATTGAAGCCAGACCAGTGTTTTTCAAACTCAAGTTGTATCTCACTTAAATTGATCGTTAAATCAATTTGGTGGGTCATGATCAACTTAAAAAAAAAAAAAAGAAAAGAAAAAAGAGGTCAGGCATGGTGGCTCATGCCTGTAATCACAGAACTTTGGCAGGGCCAAGACAGGAGGATTGCTTGAGGCCAGGAGTTTGAGAACAGCCCAGGAAACACAGACAGACTCTGCCTCTACAAAAAATATAAATAAATAAATTAGCCAGGCATGATGGTGAGCACCTGTAGTCTCCACCACTCAGGAAGCTGAGGCAGGAGGATCGCTCAAGTCCAGGAGTTTGAGGCTACAGTAAGCCATGGTGGCACCACTGCACTCCAGCCTGGGCAACAGAGTGAGAGAAAAAAAAGAAAAGAGAAAGAGAAAGAAAGAAAAGAAAAGAAAAAGAAAGAGAAAGAAAGAAAGAAAGAAAGAAAGAAAGAAAGAAAGAAAGAAAGAAAGAAAGAGAAAGGAAGGAAGGAAGGAAGGAAGGAAGGAAGGAAGGAAGGAAGGAAGGAAGGAAGGAAGGAAGGAAGGAGAGAGAGAGACAGGTTGGCGTGGTGGCTCACACCTGTAATACCAGCACTTTGGGAGGCTGAGGAGGGTGGATCACGAGGTCAGGAGATAGAGATCAGCCTGGCCATGGTGAAACCCCATCTCTACTGAAATGCAAAAAATTAGTCAGGGGTGGTGGCATGCACCTGTAATCCCAGCAGCTACTCAGGATGCTGAGGCAGTGGAATAGCTTGAACCAGGAGGCAGAAGTTGCAATGAGCCGAAATCAAGCCACTGCACTCCAGCCTGGCAACAGAGCTAGACTCTGAATGAAAAAAAAGAAAGAAAGAGAATGTAATGATGAAACGACAATTATCAGTGCATGCTGCATAGGACACCCTTAAGTACTTTTTGTGGAATGTATGTTTTGGTTATATTTATATGTTGCTATGGCTGAGTCACAATATAAAAGGTGACTTGCTGTCAAAAGTTGCAAAGCTATTGTGAGGGGCCATAAAGCCAGGATAAGAGGTGGTGGGAAAGTGAAGCAAAGATTCCACCTTTTAAGTCAATACAGTATTTCCAGTCTTGTTGCACTACTCAAGTCTTGTTGCCCAGTGTTAAATAATTGCAACACTGAGGAGTTATTTAAACTAATTTTGGCCTTTCTCTTCACCCATAGAGAGGACATTTTTCACTTGCCCACAGAGCATTAAGCAAGGACACATCTGCAGAGTGTCTAACATGATGCTGGCCATATAACAAACATTTAACTCACTATTTTAAAAAGTCTTGCATACAGCATACAGAACTGTGATCTTATATATAACAGTCGTGTGCATTTATCAAATGTGGGAGTGCCTAATTGATAACAACAACAATAAAAAAACTAAGCTCTATTGGGTACTTACTATATGACGAGCTGAATGCTTCACATCTTTTGTCTTACTTAACCCTTTACAAAACTCAAAGTGAAAAGTATAATCGTCCTTTCCTTTCTAAAGATAAGTTGAAGCTCAGAAAGGGTAAGTAACTTGCCAGTGGTCACTCAGCTGATAAGTTGCTGCAAAGCCAGGATCTGAACCCCAGCCACTTGGTTCCACACTCTGCACTCACAACCCCTCATGATGCTACCTCCAGTGGGTACATCTTGTGTGAAAGGCACTGAGCTAGACATTGTATGAATGTGTGGATGTGTCCTCCCCTCAAAGAGCTCCCAGTCAGGAGGGGAGATGAGGAATGTGGAGATCTAGCTGTATATCAAGACAGAAGCTGGCAGGTTACAGGAGAGTACAAGTTAACAGAAAAAAAAATTTTTTTGAGAGAGGGTCTCATTCTGTCGCCCAGGCTGGAGTGCAATGGCACGATCTCTGATCACTGCAGCCTCAACCTCCCAGGTTCAAGTGATCCTCCTGCCTCAGCCTCCCCAGTAGCTGAGAGTATAGGTGCACACAACCACACTTGGCTAATTTTTGTAGTTTTTGTAGAAACAGGCCTAATAAAGTGGGGGTTGACATAGAAGAGAAGGCTTCCTTGAAGCTACTGAGCTGGGATTTGAAGGATGACCAGGGAGCGCCCTGACAAGGACTTTTGTTTTTACCCTAAGAGTGCTGTCCAGCTAACTAAGGGGTTCGAAGATGGACGTTTTGCCCAGAAACCCCATTTAGCACTAATGAGTTTGTTTTCCTATCCTTGCCTTAGTCTCCTACTTCCCTGGGACATGCTTGAAGACAGGAATTAGGTCTTCAGTAAAGTGAGACCCAAAGAAATTAAATCTGAGCTGAGAAAGTCAGCCAAGGCTCTGACCACACATGCCAGTAGTATTGGTCTGAGAAATAAAAAGCAATGGTTACTTCTCAGACCAACACTACTTCACCCTTTCTACATGTCTAATGAGAAAACGAGGTGAAATGATCCCTTCTGTTCTCAGGGTCCAAGTCATAGATTTGCCGAAAGGTCACATACAGTTTGGTGGCAAAATGCAGACGGTAAGCCAGACCAACACCCAATCCCTGGTTCTTTGGTTTTTTCTTTTTTTTTTTTTTAATAGAAAACAAGCCTAAAAATAGCATCTGTCTTTGCTGCACGTTGAAGAAAACCAAAACACTTGCTTTTAAAAATTATTTTTAAAACTAGCAGATGGCATTGGCCACAGAGAGAGAAGTAAGTGAGAGAGAGATTTCACTTGGTTGCTTTCTGCTTGGAAGAACTCAGCTTGCCCCCCAAACTCATTAGTCGGAATCCCCACATCGGGGGATCGCTCCACTGTG